AATGGGGCAACATGCAATGTATGGGACCAGGTAATGACCGGTAGTGATGAAGAGCTTGACAACTTCTCAATATAGGGACGGGAAACCCCAAAGCATGTATCTTTCAAGTGAAAAAACAGGAGCAGACACGAAGCCATATAGAGTTGCACACATCTGGCCGATCTTTCGTGTGGCAAGCAGACCAGAGCCCAGATTATCCCACAGTTGCAGTTCCACCGAACTGACCCTGAAGATGCTAACAATTTACGGTGCAGTCAGCCGCGAATAAGAGGGAGAGCACCTCCGCCAGGGCGGCTCGCACTAAACACGCGGCAGTTTGCTCGTTATACGCGTCCAAGTCCACCCCCTTCGCTTCCATCCCCGGCATGCACCTGCACCGGCTCTAGGGTGCAGGGAAGAAGATCAGCGACGGCACACGGCGCCTGCCACAGCCGGAGAGGAGGGAGGGGAAGGGGGGGGGGGGGCAGACAGCGGCGACATATGGACGGCACCGGTCGGCGGCCTGGTCCCGCTCCCGGAGAGCGCGTGACGCAAGCGGCCCCGACCATGCATTCAGCGGATTAGGACTTTTCACCGTAGCCATCAGACAGGACCGGTGCAGCGGCCTTGAAAATGGATCATCCTCCCGCGAGAGGCAAAATGCTGCAGGACCAGGCGGACTACCCGCGCCGAAGGCGGCTTCACCCGTGTTGAGACACCGCCAGCGACAGTGCGACGCTAATCACGAGGAGGCTGGGTGGGCCTGCCTATTCGTCCGGAGCCGTTCTTCCGAGCCCTTCTGCCACGAGCCCTTGCCGCTCCTTCCCAAACATGCTGCGGTCTAGGCCGTCAGGCGGCGTTCCCCCGCGCACCGCCGCCGCCCGCTCCGACGGTCCGGCGGGTCAGCAGTTCGGCCCCAGCTGCACGCCCGCCGGGCCCGTTCCGACGGTCCGGCGGGTCAGCAGTTAGGTCCCAGCTGCACGCCCGCCGGCCCCGCTCCGACGGTCCGGCGGGTCAGCAGGTCGGCCCCAGCTGCACGCCCGCCGGCCCCCGCTCGGCGTGATGGCACTCCACCTGCCACGGCGACGCACGTGCCGGCCGCCGCTGCGCGCTGACCCTCATGAGACCTTCAGGCCGGCGGCGGCCTTGAGGCGCCGGACAGCAGCCGGCTCAGCAGCCTTTTTACGGGCGGCCGTTCGTGCCGCGCTGACCGCAGCGCCGGCGCTGACCTGACGTCGGCGATGGCCGCACGAGCCGGCCCTCCTGCGGCGCCGCCGGCCGCCCACGCCCAGCTCCGGACCGAGCGCGTGATCCGCGGCTGTGTCCGACCGCCGGCCGGTCGTCACGAGCGCGGCGCGGCGCCGCTGCGGCCGCCTCGTCTCAGCTCGCCACATCCGTTCAGAGGGTGATGCATCGACTGGCAGGTCAATGCCGCGTGCCGAGCGAGGCGGCGCTCCGAGCCGGCCGCACCCGGTGGCAGGGCAGACGACACACCCGCTGGTGGGGGTCAGCCGCCGCTCCAGCGGCCTCGGCACAGGGTGCGGGGCCGAGGGTGCAGACGTGGAGCTCACGTGGCGGGCGCGACGGAGCCACGGCGGCTGCGGGTCGGCCTCGCTGCGGATCCTGGCCGTCGGCTGGCGTCGGTCCGACCGACCCTGCCGGCGTCGCCAGCTCGGCACGCTCCGGCTAGCTCCGGGCGATCCACTCGGACGCCACCAGAGCCCGTCAAGCCGGGCTCCGTCCCCCTCTCCGGGCTCCGCCACACGCATCGCTCGAAGAGAAGAGAGACGGAGCGCGCAGATGAGCCTGGCGCGGCTGCCAGGACGGTGCATGAGTTGAGAAGGACGGCATGGAAACTCTGACCAATTTGCGGCGCGCCGCGGCTGCAAAGGTGCCAATTGCGCCCGGGTAAACATGCAAAGCTGCCCGCATGCGGCCGTCTCGGCGTGCACCGGCCTGCCGGGACAGGGGGATTCTTTCGGCGATAGCCTTGTACCCCGACAATCCGCGGGGTGGTTCTCGGTACATCCACCTTTCACTCGCGATGGCGTGCGCGGCACTGCGATTGGACCTCGGTCGGCGCACGCCTCGAAAACAGTCGCACAACTCCGCCATCCCCGGCGCGCCGACGGCCCACATTCCTGCTTCTCTGCCAAACACACGCAGACGCGTACACATGCACACACACACACACACACACACGCGGACACATAAACAGCTTGGGGGAGGCGTGCGTTGTTTGGCCTGTTTGCACACTGAGAGGTGGCTCCGTGACGGGCCGCCGCGCGGCCGGGTCCGGAGCCCGCCTGCTCGTGATGCTCCGCTCCAGCTCTGACCACCACCGACCAGCTGGGCCAGGCCTGACTGCGTGTGCGTGCATCGCTGGGGTGCCATTGTTGCTGCGAGGGGCACCGGGAATCAGGACTAGCCGGGAGTCAGCTGTGAATCAGCTGGGAATCAGCTGGGAATCAGGGCCAGCAGGCAGCCGACCGAGCGACTTCTGCTGCCGGCTGAGAGACGGCCGGCTCCCGCTGGCGCAGGGGCGCCGTGTACAGAGGAGGGGACAGCCACCAGCGCCCAGCGGCGTCCAGCCACTGGTGACGGGAGGACATCTCACTCCCGCTGGCGCAGGGGAGCCGTGTGTGACAGAGGAAACGATCACCAGCGCCCCGCAGCATCCGGCCACCCCCGGCGGGAGCCTGTCCCGCCGCCGGCAGGTCCGGCCGCGTGCCATCAGAAGCGAGCACACGTGGCGTGGCCCGAGCGCCCGGTCATGCGCGGCCTCACTGCACGCGATGACTGAGCGGCGACGCGACCGCACAACATGCCGGCCGTCACGGGGGCACCGCCCGACCGCACAACATGCCGGCCGTCACGGGAGTACCGCCCGACCGCACAACATGCCGGCCGTCACGGGAGTACCGCCCGACCGCACAACATGCCGGCCGTCACGGGGGCACCGCCCGACCGCACAACATGCCGGCCGTCACGGGGGCACCGCCCGACCGCACAACATGCCGGCCGTCACGGGGGCACCGCCCGACCGCACAACATGCCGGCCGTCACGGGAGTACCGCCCGACCGCACAACATGCCGGCCGTCACGGGAGTACCGCCCGACCGCACAACATGCCGGCCGTCACGGGAGTACCGCCCGACCGCACAACATGCCGGCTGTCACGGGAGTACCGCCCGACCGCACAACATGCCGGCCGTCACGGGAGTACCGCCCGACCGCACAACATGCCGGCCGTCACGGGAGTACCGCCCGGCCCGCACAACATGCCGGCCGTCACGGGAAGTACCGCCCGGCCGCACAACATGCCGGCCGTCACGGGAGTACCGCCCGACCGCACAACATGCCGGCCGTCACGGGAGTACCGCCCGACCGCACAACATGCCGGCTGTCACGGGAGTACCGCCCGACCGCACAACATGCCGGCTGTCACGGGAGTACCGCCCGACCGCACAACATGCCGGCTGTCACGGGAGCACCGCCCCGACCGCACAACATGCCGGCTGTCACGGGAGTACCGCCCGGCCGCACAACATGCCGGCCGTCACGGGAGTACCGCCCGGCCGCACAACATGCCGGCCGTCACGGGAGCACCGCCCGACCGCACAACATGCCGGCCGTCACGGGAGTACCGCCCGACCGCACAACATGCCGGCCGTCACGGGAGTACCGCCCGACCGCACAACATGCCGGCCGTCACGGGAGCACCGCCCGACCGCACAACATGCCGGCCGTCACGGGAGTACCGCCCCGCCCCAAAACCGCACCGCCAGCGCCGCACAGTGGACGCTCGGGACGGACGGCCACATCCGCTCCCCCAAGACGTGCGTGTCCCGTTGACCGCGGCGACATTTGAAGACAAGTGAATCAACTGATGGCCTTAATCAGCCGATAGGGACGGTTGTAACGTCAAACGCCATGGTCAAAAACAATGGTCAAACCCTATGGTTAAACCACATGGTCAAACCCTATGGTTAACCCCTATGGTTGAACCCTACAATTAAACCCCATGGTCAAACCCCACGGCCAAACCCCATGGTCCGACTCCCAGGAGAGAGAGAGGCGGCATACGCTGGGGAGGAGTAATACGCCGTGAAGGCGACTTAACAAAGCTTACATGACAGGTATTCCATCACCCATCTGAGGATTTGACCAGCTTCTGACATGATCAGATGTCATCTGGATCCTCAAATCGTTTTAAAAAGTTCCTTTCTCTGATGAGAATGTTAGCAACGCCTAAGTACATCACCACATACATATCGGATGACCTCGATGTGAGTAGCAATGCGGTAAAGCCCAGCAGGTGCTTACATTCCTTGCCCGACGCCATGATACATACTGAGGACGCCTACAAGCCATCATCAATAAATGCATAAATCATATGTTAAAGTGAATAGATCTCACCAAAACAATGCCGCCGAAGTTGCCTCTGACTGATACCAGAGTGGCGTAACATAAGGTGCCTGACACCATCACCTACTCAAGGACCGTGTCCGACCCGATCTGTCCTGGGACGTGACGAGCGACGAAGTCTGTCCCCTGGGGCAGAAGCCGACGCCGATGCGTCGTACTTTGCACCGTGGCCCGAGTCAGGCGGGGCCAGCTTCGGCCAACGGGGCGACAGTCGCCACGGAGTCTGCCGACAGGGCGGCTGCCCGTTCGACGTCACAGGATCGGTGGACGCCTGGTTCGACACCGGGGGTTCGGTGGACATCTGTTCAGGCATCAGGGGGTCGGTGGACGCCTATTTCGAACAACTCCGTTCTTACGATTATTCAAGTCCACCTCGGTGGTGGACTTAAATAATCGTCAGCATACACAGATTTGTAGAAACCCAGTTCGACATCAAGGGGCTCGGTGGGCACCCAATCCGGCGGGAAGCGGTCGGCCTGCAGGGCTCCGGCCATCAGCTGTCTCCAGACCCGCTTCCCCGTTCGCCGGCGGGGCTCCAGCGGAGATACGGCACCGGCTGTCGCCGCCCCAGCCGGCGGAGGAGGCTCCTGTACCTGTCTATCGAGCGTGGCGCGTCGGCCGTAGCGACGGCCGGCCGCCAGCGCCGCCGTCTCGTCGCCGGAGAAGCTGGAGCCAGGTGACACGGAGCGACCGCCGTGCTCGGCTGCCGACAGCTGCGACAGCGTGTCCGACATCTGGCGGACAGCGTGACAAGCTCAGCCTCACTACCAGCGGATAGGTGGCACTGATACCTGCTGTGTGCCACAAGGAAACAAATGTTTGCAGTCAATCATGTTGCTTGAGGAAGGCTAACACCCACCCACATCCAAACGCACACCCACACCCTTGGCCATACAACCATATATATATATATATGTATATATATGTATATATTGCGCAAACATTAACTTGCCAATTAAACGACATTCTTACTCGATCATTTTCTATAAAAAAACAAACAAAATAATATCTCTCACAAACCATGTAAATAAAAAAGTATGACCCAATCTTGGTAAACCGATGAGAACGTATTGCGCAACATTGCTCTCAAACACCGCGCCCCATTGGTCAACGGAAAAAAAACAGCTATTGCAGAAGGGGGCACCCAAACACACGCGCGTACATACCACAGCACCACATTTACCGGAAATACGCTGGTCATGAACACTACCATACTTGCGCATAGAAGCCTCAGTATAGTTGAAACGTTATACATCAGAGACGTGGCACCCATCACCAACAGACAAAACAAACAATTCACACAACTACCACTTCACGGCATGCGACTGATGGGACAGTCACCCGCCCCCCCCCTCGTAATGCAAACCCACCGGACAGGTAACCCATTAACTATATTGGAGAAAATGCAGGAATTCCAAAACCCATAAGGTGTCCGAAAGGAATTGTCCGAAACGAATGCAGGATGCAAATATATATTTTTCAAATGCCTCGACCATGTATGCTGTGGGCATGCGACGAATCCAAACGTTTGTAGATATACTGTGGCTATAATTGCATATTTGAAGTGTTATCATTATCTTGAAAATGATCATCAACTGATCGGAACGTTAAAAAATATGAACTTGAGCAATATTCCGTGTCGACACACCGAAGACGAAAAACGCATTACACGAAGCCTTGAATAAACGACCAAGGTCATACACGCGGAATTTGCTGTGGTGTTTTACCACCAATGTATATGAGAAAACCTCCCAAAAAACTTTAATTATATATATCTTGAGGCGAAGCACAAGACATGGCCCACGAAACATTTTGAAGGCACACCATCCGTTAGCAGACAGCAGATGTACGATCGGCTGATGTGATACTTGCATGTGTAATCTGCTAACATTCAGGCATCCAAGCGGAGTTGGCCGACCAGTGGGTACCGCTCCAGGAAAATAATCTATGCAATCACACCGGTCTACCTTCTCTACATAACACGAAAGACCTGCCATTACCGGCACAACGATCCATGCATCCAACGGCACAGGATCTCTCACGGAGTCGTCCCACCACATCTCTGCCGAGCTCTGCGGCGTCGTCAAGCCGTCGCCGCCAGGCCGGCCAACGCACCTTGTAGCTGAAGATGCTGCCGGCCAGGGCGCGCGTGCTGGCGCCAGGCTGGTCCTCCAGCAGCGAGATGGTGCCGACCGAGCGCTCGGAGCGGGCGTCGGCCGCCAGCGAGGTCTCGCCAAGCGAGCGCTCGGAGCGGGCGTCGGCCGCCAGCGACGTCTCGCCCAGCGAGCGCTCGGAGCGGGCGTCGCTGCAGAAACTGAGCCGCTTCCCGGAGGCCGCCTCGAGACGACAGCTGGCAGCAGACGGACGGAGGCGCAGTGCTAGGGTGCCGCGCACGGCAGGCGACGCCGGCGGCAGGCGTCACAGCGCACACGCAACGCAACCAAACGCCTCAAAAGAAGCACATGTCGAAACACAGGTAAGGTATAGTGGCGCCGCTGTAGACACCCTGCGTTACCTGTTGGCGCCGGCGCCGCTTTAGGCCCGTGTGTTACCTGTCCGCAGCGCAGCGGAACCTTGTCTTACTTACTGGCACCGCTGTAGAGCGGTGTTACCTATTGGCACCACCGTATAACCCGCGTGTTACCTGTTGGCACCGCTGTAGAGCCCGTGTGTTAGCTGTTGGCACCGTCGTAGAGCCGGTGGCACCGCTGTAGAGCCCATGTGTTACCTATTGAGCCCGCTGGCACCGCCGTAGAGCCGGCGTATTACCTGTTGGCACCGCTGTAGACGCTGGGCGTGAGGCTGTCGGGCGCCACGGCCGTGACGCTGGCCGACTCGCGGTCGCTCTCGCCGGGCCCGGCCAGCGCCCGGTCCAGCTGCGAGCCGGATGACCAGAGACCGGACACCTCGCCGATCGACGGGTACGGCGTGCCCGGGCGGTGCGACAGCGTGTCTGTGCTGGTGGCGTCTGCAACGGCGCATATGGACGACGCTGACGGGAGACGTGGCGGCGGCGCACACGCAAAAGGGCACGCAACAGCGGCAACCGACGACATCCGCACGAAGCAGGTGGCGGTATCCTGCAAGCGTTTACGTGCATTTGCATCAGCTGCAAGTCGTACCATGCCCACGGATCGCTTTTAACAGAACAGTTTGTATACTACATCACGTTCCGCGACCGGGCAGACAGCATACCGTAAAACGGCAGGCAGCTCAGACTGAAACAGGACAGAAACACAGTCTGAAACCGCCAGTACTGCTGAGTCTGAGTGACCCCGGGGCTGGTCCTGACAAGGCCGACACGTTTCCTCGGAGCGGGAGCACCTGACGTGCTTCCCCAGCCACTACCGACACGTTAAATCAGCGCCTCCCTGAACACCGCCCGTCGCGTGTTTGACACATCTGCACAGGGGAGTCTGAGGGAGAGTCCCAGGACCCATTAGCGGCGGCGGCCGCCGTGCTGTCCGCCGCATCATCAGCTGTCGTCCAGGAGACGGGCGCGGTAAGGAGACGCAACGCACACGCAGGACGAAAACTTCAAACTGCATTCGTCTGCAGGCACAGAGCAGAGCCCTGCCCGGCCGACACGCCTCAGTAACGACGGGGACCATCGTCACGGCTCCCACGCCGGCGACCACGCGCAGCGCGCGCGCCACTCGTCACAGTCGACCGCCGCCCCGTCAGCGGCGTGTGACGTCACGACGGGCGGGGTGGAGCCGCCGGCCCGGTGGCGGCCGGGCGCCGGCTCCACCCGGCCGCGGCGTCCACCGCCGGCGTCGGCCTGCGGCGTGCCTCCCGGGCCGACCTCCGCTGCAGCCGTCGCGTGCGCCTCACCTGCCGGACGGCCGCCGGCAGCCAGCTCCAGCGCGTCGTTCTCGTCGTCGAACTCGAAGCGGACGCCCTGCGGCGTGGTGGAGAGGCCGCAGCCGCCGGCGCGGCATAGCGAGAACGGCACGACACCGTAGATGTAGGCCAGCAGGATGGGCACGCCTATGCTGACCGCCATCAGCGACAAGGCCGGCGAGGTCAGCGCCTGAGGATCAGCGACAGTCAGCACGTGAGAGCGAGGCGGGACGCCGTCAGGAGGCCGAACTCGGAGACGGGGACGCGCAGAGCTGGGACAGAACACGACGGGACATGCGGAGGGCAGGGACACCATGACACGACCAGAGGGGCAAGCCGGGGAAACGAAGTGGCAGCACACAAAAGCTTGCTGAGGCATGGTCACAGCGTTGGGTACACAGACGGACAATGCATAGAGAGCAGCCGACGGACAATACATGGAGAGCAGCCCGGCACGAGCGCCGTGGCCACGCCCCTCTGAGTTCACAGCAGGCGACAGTCAGCGCGGTCGACCGGGACACAAGCGCCGGGGCCACGCCACTCTGAGTTCACAGCAGGCGACAGTCAGCGCGGTCGACCGGGACACAAGCGCCGGGGCCACGCCACTCTGAGTTCACAGCAGGCGACAGTCAGCGCGGTCGACCGGGACATCAACACGAACATACAGACGGCGGCCGCTGCACTGGGACGGCCGCGACAGCTCCAGGTCAGCAAGGCAGCGACGAGCAGACATGTTCACTGCCCTCCACACCGAGGCAGCCTCCCCTGGGAGCGAGCCTCAGCCAGCGCGTGATCGGGGGAGCCTGGACAGCATTTTCTCGGTGCTCAAAAGTGACAGCCAGGCCAGCCATGTTTCGCGATCCCGGTTTGTAACACCAGCCAATAACTAAAAAAAGATATAAGAATATGCGAGTCGGGAAAGGTGCTGAGTGCAGAATACGGCGTGGAGCACCCTCTGACGTATCGAGCCTCTGCCGGTCTCTGACGTCACCCGGTACTCCAGCCGGCCCGGTGGGCACGCACGAGGTGGAAAGAGAGGGAGAGCACTACGCTCGAACTCTGTCGCCGGCGAGGTGGCGCGGTAGGGCAGGACGGAGGGAGGAGTCTCGCATCGCCACCGAACTCTGTCGCCGGCGAGGTGGCGCGGTAGGGCAGGACGGAGGGCGCAGTCTCGCATCGCCACCGAACTCTGTCGCCGGCGAGGTGGCGCGGTAGGGCAGGACGGAGGGCGCAGTCTCGCATCGCCACCGAACTCTGTCGCCGGCGAGGTGGCGCGGTAGGGCAGGACGGAGGGCGCAGTCTCGCATCGCCACCGAACTCTGTCGCCGGCGAGGTGGCGCGGTAGGGCAGGACGGAGGGCGCAGTCTCGCATCGCCACCGAACTCTGTCGCCGGCGAGGTGGCGAGGTAGGGCAGGACAGAGGGCGGAGTCTCGCATCGCCAGGCGAGGTAGCGCGGTAGGGCAGGACGGAGGGCGGAGTCTCGCATCGCCAGGCGACGTGGTAAGGTAGGACAGGACGGAGGGCACAGTCTCGCATCGCCACCGTCATCGTACAGATCAAAACGAGGAGGTGGCGGCCAGGCGCAGTGTCAGAGGACACGCCGACGGCGGACTCGGTCGGCCGGTGACGGCACGACCCCAGGTCGATACGGCGGGGCTGGCGGAGCCCGCCACCGGCCCGGCCCGTCTGTCGCTCCACCCCAGTACAGTCGAGCCGAGGACGCGGCACCGACGGCACGGCGGCCGGAGCTAGGTCACGGGTCAGCGGCAGCGAGCGACGCGACCGGCCGGCCACCGGACACAGGTAAGGCGCGGCTGGCAGGCAAGGGGAGAGGTCAGGCCAGGTCAGGTCGCGGAGACGGAGCTCAGGCGACAGGCCGGTTGGCCAGTGATGTGAAGCGCGGTGTTTCAGAAGCGCACGTACTGTACTCGTTAGATGAGGTCACATAACCAGCTTAGCGATTCTTTTGGACCAGGGATGAGAAACCAGCTTAATGTACAAATAAGACATGGAAAGTGGCGTCACAACAAACAAATGCGAACTATGCTTGCTCTTTGAGCACCAACTGGGGAACAAAGTAACACACCTTTACCCCGTGAGTTTGTTTCCTTTCCCTGACACAAGTGTCGTTTCCCTAATGCTGCATTTCTCGCCGCAAGTGATCCGCTAAAACAGCTACCCTGGTCTTCTCCGGTACGATCGACCGGCCACTGACACTACTGACACGCCGAGAGGAAAGCTATTCTGAAAGTAACTGCCAGAGCGTGCCACAAAGGCCGCGCTTGCGGCATTATCAGCAGACATGGGGCCTTCGTTCGTTCGGTAGGACGGCGGTGCCGTCTGCGGAGGGAGGGAGGGAGGGAGGGAGCGGGCGAGCGAGCCGGCCATGCCAGCGCGCCGCCGGCTGTTGCAGGTGCGGTGACGGATGGCGCAGCCGGCCGGCCGGGGTCGCGCGGCACGCGCCGACCGGGACGCCTGGCACCATCGGCAGCACCTGATCTGGGCGGAGCGGATCGGCAGCGAGGGCCGCGCGCGCCAACTCTGGCGTCACCACTGGGCCGGGCTGGGCAGCGGGCCCGACCGCGCGGCCCGGCCTCCGGAGGCCCCGCGGCAGGGCGCAGCCGCGGCCCGCCCTGAGGGGCCGGCCACGGAGCAGCAGGAGCAGGAGCAGGAGAAAGAGCAGGGGCAGAAGCCGCCACCACCGCCGCGCACCAGTGCCGGTGTCATCGGCTGGACCGTGTGGCCAGGCGGCCAGCTCGAGCCGCTCGAGACCCGCCACCGGCGGCGGAGGGTCATCACGTGACGGTCCCCGGGCACCGGCGGGTCCGAACGTGATCCTCTAGCACCGGTGGGTCATCACGTGATCCTCTAGCACCGGTGGGTCATCACGTGACAATCCTCGGGCGCCTGCGGGTCATCACGTGACGATCCTCGGGCGCCTGCGGGTCACAACGTGACGGTGCTCGAGCACCAGACGGAGTCAGACCCGTCAGCGGAGCGGCGCGCCGGGCGGGACTGACTCCATCAGGTCGCTGGCCGTCACACTGTCCGCTCATCCACACGACCCAGCCGCTGAGCACCGATCGCCGCCGGCTCACGCGCCCGCCTCAACACTGGAGCCTGCACTGCATCGACTCAGACGCGCTGAGAGCATTGGTTCTCTCCGAGCATTCCCACTGAGCAATCACTTGAGCGTCAGCCATCAGGCCGGTGTTTGCCGTCTCTGGCGGCCTCATGGCTCGGATAGCACAAATATTAGCTTATAAGGGGGGCTCGCAGGGTCGTGTTTTCCCATCCGCCGTCCCTCCTGC